TGGAGCTTTCCTGCTATTAGCCTTTGTAGTGCTGGGTTTCTGGAAAGATATTGTGTAAATTTGGATTTGTCATGGAATATCTTGGTTTCTCCATCTATGGTAGTTGAGAGTTTTACTGAGTATAGTAGCCTGGGCTGGCATTTGTGTTCTCTTAGGGTCTGTATGACATCTGTCCAGGATCTTCTGGCTTTTATAGTATCTGGTGAAAAGTCTGGTGTTATTCTGATAGGTCTGCCTTTATATGTTACTTGGCCTTTTTCCCTTACTGCATTTAATATTCTTTCTTTGTTTTGTGCATTTGGTGTTTTGATTATTATGTGACAGAAGGTATTTCTTTTCTAGTCTACTCTATTTGGTGTTCAGTAGGCTTCTTGTATGTTTATGGGCATCTCGTTCTTTAAGTTAGGGAAGTTTTCTTCTATAATTTTGTTGAAGATATTTATTGGCCCTTTAAGTTGGGAATCTTCACTCTCTTCTATACCTATTATCCTTATGTTTGGTCTTCTCATTGTGTCCTGAATTTCCTGGATGTTTTGTGTTAAGAACTTTTTGCATTTTGCATTTTCTTTGACAGCTGTGTCAATATTTTCTATGGTATCTTCTGTACCTAAGATTCTCTATTCTATCTCTTGTATTCTGTTAGTGATGCTTTTGTCTATGACTCCTGATTTTTTCCCTAGGTTTTCTACCTCCAGGGTAGTCTCCCTTTGTCATTTCTTTAATGGTTCTACTTCCATTTTTTATGTCCTAGATGGTTTTGTTCAATTCCTTCACCTGTTTGGTTGTGTTTTCCTGTAATTCTTTAAGGAATTTTTGTGTTTCCTCTTTAAGGGCTTCTACCTGTTTACCTGTGTCCTCCTCAATTTCTTTGAGAGTGTTATTTATGTCCTTCTTAAAGTCCTCTATCACCATCATTAGAAGTGATTTTAAATCTGAATCTTGCTTTCTTGGTGATATGGTGAATTCAGGACTTTCTAGTGTGGGAGAACTAGTACCCTGGGTTGCTAATGTTTTTGTTCTCGTGCTTGCCTTTCGCCATCTGGGTCTCCTTAGTGCTACCTGTGCTGTCTCTGACTGACGTCTCTTTCCTATTATCTAGATTTTGTCAGAACTGTTTGGGGTAGGTGTTGCTGCTGGGGTTAGATCTGAGGCCCAAGATCTGCTCAGTGCTTGGGCGCAGACTGGAAGGAACTAGTGCCCTGGGCCAGGAGTGAATTCCTGGGTCCTAGTCGGTCCCAGTTACTCCCTGTTTGGGGCGGGTGTTGCTGTCTCCTTACCTAAGATACTGCTGGATTTAGAGCTCCTGGGAGCCCTGCCTCCTCTGGGTTTTGTGAGATTGGGAGCAGAGCTGAAGCCTAGGATCTGCTCAGTGCTAGGGTGCAGACCGGAAGGAATGTTTATCTTTTTGAACACAAGATTTAGCTCCATTCTTCCTGGTGCCCCTTTTCACTATAGATCTTTACAAGCATTCCCATTAATAACAACAGGACATAGCCCACACTAGGCTGTTTTTGAAACTTCCTTTGCAATTGTAATTAATCTAAAACTCTTCAATTTAGCTTCAGGTAGATTTTTTGGACAAAAAGCAGCCACATTCTTCACAAAAATATCACAAGAAAGATCTCTAGGCAGCACAATAAAATTCTTCTCCTTTGAGACCTTTAAACCCGATCCCCACCATTCAAATCACCCTCAGCACCACGGCCTCCATGCTCCTTGGAGCGTGGCCCATTAAGCAGTGCTGAAAGCATTCTACTGGTTCCTTAACTCAAAGTCCCTTATACTAAATCCTTTAAACAAAAACACGGTCAGGCCTATCACAGAACTACCTCAGGCCCAAGCACCAACTTCTGTCTTAGTTAGGGTTTATTCCTGTGAAGAGACATCATGACCAAGGGAATTCTTATAAAGGAAAACATTTAACTGGGGCTAGTTTAAAGTTTCAGAGGTTTAGTCCATTGTCATCATGGCAGGCATGGTCCTGGAGAAGAAGCCAAGTGTTCTCTACATCTTGATCTGCAGGCAGCAGCAGGAGACTATGTTCCACACTGAGCATAGCTTGAGTATAGGAGACCTCAAAGCTCAACTCCACAGTGACATACTTTCTTCAACAAGTCCACATTTCCTCCAACAAGGCTATGCCTCCTAATAGTGCCACTCCCTATGGCTAAGTATTCAAGCACATGAATCTATGGGGGCCATACCTATTCAAGCCATTACAAGGGAAAAGCCAGCAAGCAACAAGCAACTCCAGAGATGGCTGCAAGCTTCACACACTTCACAAAGTGAAGAGTGACTGGGATACCAGCACTAAGCTCTGAAGTACAATTTGTGTACTGCTGATACAAGATTTCTGCAGAATGGGAGGGTGCCCATCACAGATATACTCACCATCCCTGAAGGAAGAGAAATTGTAGCAAAATAATACTAGATTAAAATGCAGCTGTGATTATCTATTCCTATCACAGATTGCAATAGTATAACCCCCACTTCCATCTCTATCATACCATGCTGTTATGTTTTCCAGAGTAGGAATTGGCTGTGATCACTCTGACTCTGGGTCACAGCTCTGATATCTCCATATCTGTGTCACTGTAGGTGAGCTACTTTTCTCTTAAAGACCCAGTTTCATTGCCTGAATAAGACAACATGAGTCTCAGGGACAGAACATCTTGCCACAACAGACTTAAAATTAATCACAATTGGTCATATAACATGTGGCATATACACAACCCAGAGAGCGAAATCACTTATATTTATTATCTGCATTGAGAAAGAATTTTTAAAAATATTGCAACCATGACATTTTACTTTATTATTGAAGACTTTGGGCAGTACGTTAGAATAAACAAGGTAACGAGGTAATTTCTATACTAATGGCTAAGTTGTATTTAAGTATGAAGTTATGATCTGAAGTGCTTTAAACTGATGACTTCATTTACTCTTCTGTGACTAGGAACTATTTTTCTCTCATTTCATGGGGTAGGACATTGGAGGACAGTCAAGTTCAGTAATTTGGACAAGGTAACAACAACTCATATAAGTGGCAAGGCCTAGACTCATTTATAGGCAATCTGACTTCCTGAGATGCATTAGAGTAACAACTGGCCAGAGACAAGAGTTCTGGGGCTGCCAAAGCTCTATTTTTTTTTGACTCAGGTGGTATCTGCAACAGATTTTATTCATATGTGCTTCTGAATTGGCTGTTTTGTTTAAAGCTATTTAAAATTATATTATTAGTCAATCAAAGTTTGCCACTTGATGATCTGAGCAAAGACCAGGTATATATATATTTTATGTCATGTTTCCAACCACAGGCATGGGGTGAGATTACTGCAGTATTGTGGCAATGTTTGTTTCAATTGTTTGTAATGGTGGCCCAGAAACAAACAGAAATTCTTATTTTTGACTTGTAGGACTATGTGGCTTTTTCTCAGGGTCCCTTGAGGAGAAAGAGGAATGGGCATAAGGAATACTTACATTGTGGCATTTGGGACCCCACTTCTCTCTTGTCCTGCATTTTTGCTAATTATTCTTGGCTCCTCTCCACCTGTATAAGTTATTTACATTCTCCTATGCTTTCTCTTTCTCTCAGCCTTTTCCTTTGCTTGATGCTAATGTTTTAAAAGTACTTAAATATATTTTTTGTATGTGTGAGGTTTTACCTGCATGTATATATGTGCATTGCATGTATGTCTAGTGCTAGCAGAAGCCAGAAGGGGGCATCAGATTCATTAGAATTGGTATACAACTGGTGTTACAGATACAGATGTGGGCTGCAATGCTAGTGCTGGGAAGCACACGCAGGTCCTCTGAAAGGACAGCAAGCACTCTTAACCACTAAGCTATTCCTCCAGTCCTAGCTTGGATCTACTCTTATACATTCCGGGAAGCACTTCCCTCCCTCTTCTGGTCTATAGAACTTGGGAGACATTTTTCATGAGTTTGTTTAATATTATGCTGGATTGCTTAGTGTTTATTAAGAATGGTTCAGTGCCTGGCCTTGGGAGTACATACCTGGAGTCCCAGCACTTAGGAGGTCAATCAGAAAGTTGAAAGTTGAAAGCCTGGGCTACAAAATGAAAACTCTTTCAATAAAAAGAGCTGAAATGCTTGTATACAACTTTATTTCCATTCTAAAAATCAAAAGAAAAGGTGCAAGCCAGGGCCACTGCTTAGCTTACTAGACCTACACCAGCTCAGTCTTTCTAATTAACACGTTCTACTACCAGGGCATCTGTGCAGAGAGATCCAGTACTGCATGCTATGAGAGCGTCTCAGAGGCTGCACGAAGCTAGAAAGAACATTTCCCAATTTCTATTTTTATTTTATTTTATTTATTTATTTATTTATTTATTTATTTTTGGTTTTTCAAGACAGGGTTTCTCTGTGTAGCCCTGGCTGTCCTGGAACTCACTCTGTAGACCAGGCTGGCCTCGAACTCAGAAATCCTCCTGCCTCTGCCTCCCAAGTGCTGGGATTAAAGGCGTGTGCCACCACTGCCCAGCCATTTCCTAATTTCAGAATTTCCAAATTTTTAACTCTAGAATGGAATAATCTTTATACATCTGTGCTTGTATTAAAATTTTAAAACAGACTAAAAATCTGATTACAGGCAGGAAAGTGGTTTTAAAAAATCTACTGTGCCTATGAGAGAGACACCTGCAGCACTTACAGGGTATACAGAAAGTCTCCTCAGTGGGCAGGCACTGCAGTGTGCACGACAGTCTGCCCTCCTGAACTGACTAGCCTAGCCCTTCCCCTCTTAACAGGATTCTGATCAGAGTCTTATAATTCTATGGGGACCTTCCTGCCCCTGCACCTTGAAAGAAAAGATTCTGTATATGGAGCCATTAAAAAGACCCTAGTGGTCCTGAGCAACTTGACCCCAACTCCAGGTTCAAGTTTTCCTCTGCTCTTTCTTAGCCTGAGTCCAGAGTCCATTCAGCACCATGGATAGCTACATTGCTTCTGCTTTGCCAGAGCAGGAGAGGTTATACCTGTTGGTTTGTTCGGTACACAGATGGGGATTCCTCCTCTCTCATTTCTCCCCCTGCTTCTGAGAATACCATTTCTTCCTCCTGCTCCTCACTGTCTTCAGAACAGGAATCAAATACATCAGCATAATACTGTTCAGCAACAAGTGGGTCTTCTGGGATCTCTGAAATAGAAAATAAGCAACACACAATCATGGAAGTTATAACAGGGTGAGCTTGCATATATTCAGAGATTGGCACTGGAAAAGCTTCCTCAGAGTACAGTGCTGACTCCTAGCTTCCTGAAATTGTCTTCTGGATATAGTCATAACTCAGCAAAATTAAACCAGTAGGAAGAGGGACACTAGCCTTTGAAGTTTGGGAGAACAAAGCCATGAGACGAGCGTAAATGATCTCCTCTGGAGCTTTCACATGAGTCCTTATTAAAAACAAAGGGAGTCAGGGGAAAAATAAAGATGAGAAACCAGAGCAGAGTCCTGTTATGCAACTCACAACATTTTGTATCTGAGATAGTGGGAAGGAGATTGTGTTAATATTCTTCTGGAAGTTTCTTTAAAAAAAAAAGTCAGTGGTGAGATAATACAACATGGATAGGATATATAACAATGATGTTTGGCCAAACTGGGGAAGACATCACAATTCTTTTCTAACAGGCTATGGATTTAGGCTTTTTAAGTGGAGTTCACTCTGGAAGGCTATATTCACACCCACACAGAGCATTTATTTTAAAGCGAAAAGAAAAGGGAAGATTATCTGTGTAAGCTGGAAGCTGGTACCAATTACCCAAGTTACTTGGCATAGTATCTCTACTGACTAAAACAGAGGTGGCACACATAACAATATCAACAAAGAAAGGCCAAGGGTGGGCTATGGGGGGCACAGAATTGGACACTCTAATTTACTAATGGGGACTGGCAATAGAAAAATACCTTTGGCTGGGAGAGGAAGAAGTTACATAATGGTATTATACTGCAGCCAGGTTAGGCTTTGCAGCATTCTGACTTATAAACAGAATTATTGTTCTTACTTGCAACACAGGATGCTATTTTTTTAACCCATTGCTACTTTGTTCTCTCTGGTGGGAAAATGTGTCATATAATATCAGAAAATTACAGTTTGGCTCGACCCCTGCCTGCTTGCATATAAAATTCTGGGCAAGATGCTTACATTTACAGACCCTCTGTTTTCCTCAGTAAAACTAATATAAGGGTACTCTAGTCATGTGACTTGCAGACCCCATAAGCTGCTTATGAAAACATCTATCTGTATACAAGGAAATGTCACAGAACTTCCACTCAGTTTGCATATCTGTAAAAAAAAAGGCTTTCTATTAACTGACTCAGAATCCTTTGAACTAGAACATGGGCTGTAGATTTAGGTAGCAAAAGAAAACAAAGTTTTAAGGGCACACAGCTCTCACATGTGGGGTGAGAGGACATCTTGTAGGAGTCTGCTGTCTCCTTCTACCATGTGTATCTTGAGGATCAAATTCAGTTTGTCAGGCTCACCCACTGAGCCATCATGCCAGCTTCCAGAAAGAAAACTTTACAATATTCTTGCTACCTATACTTTTGTTGCAAAACACAAGAGGCTCTATACTGGATCAAAATTAGCTCAGTGACAAAAATTACATATACTCCTAACAGCTTTTGACAGTGCTTAGGGTGGGACTTACATGCTCTGTCATTTAATCCCAGCCTGTTTTCTTCCATACATATATAACTATAGATCTCTATCATCTCTATAATATCTATCTATCTATCTATCTATCTATCTATCTATCTACTTACCTATTTATGTTTGAAAGTGACATCTGACTGAGCAGACAAAGTGATGAATCAGAGAAAGATGTAACAGAATGAACCAGATAGCATATACCCAACTCTCAGGAAAGAGAGGCTTCTTTAAAGAACAATGCAGAGAAAGGGGGAAGGAGGGAGGAAGAGAGGAAGGGAAGGAAAAAGAGAAAGAGAGAGAGAAAACAGTTTTACTGGAACAGTTTTACAGAGACAGGTGGCCAGGTTGCCTGTGAAGTCAGAACGAGCCAGAGAATGAGGAGACAAAAGATTAGAAGAGGTTTGCAGAGTTAGTCTGAATCCAAGTAGAGCAATTCAGTCAGAGGCCAAGAGGAGCTGCTTTGAACTAGTCAGCTTGGAAAGGAGACTGGGCCAGAGCATCTGAGTTGAACCAGCCAGCCAGAGTCCAGAAGGAGCTAGAGAGTGTGAGCTTATTTAGCAGTAGGCCTCTGAGATGATGATTACATCTGATGAATAAGTTACTTATACACGGAACCACATGCCTCTCACATAACTTCCTCCTCTGCTCCTTCTTCACCTGGCCCAGAACCCCTGTCTCTCAGAATTGTATGTTCCCTCATCAGCCCCTCTACTTCCCCTCCTTCCTCTGTCTCTCTGCCTTTTTTTTTAACAGCCATTCCCTAATTCACTTTCTCATTTCGTCTCCCTTCTGCTCTTCTCCTTTTCATCTCCCCTTCCCATCCTTGGCTTTCAAACTTGAGTGTGACATGGTACAGCAGATTTACATCATTTCCCAGTTTGCAGGAGAGTGTTTACATTGTGTACACACTTAAAATCTTCAGGAATAAAACAAAATTTTCAGAAATAGAGACCCTCAAAACTACAAGTGGCACTTTGGTATTTACCATTCTAGTCTATATTTCAAAAAGATGTTCGAAACTCACAAAAAAGTGAGTTTTCAATCCATGGTTTTAAACACAATGGCTTAGAATGCTGGCTTCTGCATCAACGAGATCTGTACTTCCATCAAGACTAACTGTGGCTCTACAGCACTGGGTACCAATTTAACTTTGTGCATTCTGGTTTTCTCATCTGTAAGCTACAGATGATTATCTGCCTCTGAGGTTATTGTAAGCAATCAATGGGATAACAGGAACAAGGTATTCATGTCATGGTATTCTACTCAATGAATATCAGCTGCTATCAGAAGCTATACAGTGTGGCCAACATTTTGATTTTGCCTGTTAATACCCAACATCAGGAAGAAATATATCAGACAATTATAGTTACAAACCAAATGTGAAATGTTCTTTATTTTAAATATAATCAGTCTGTATAGGTTTTCAGAACTGACTCAGAGGCACAGAGTGGAATGATGTCTCATTGGTTCTTTGTGCTGGCCTCCACAAAGACCTATGGGCACTTTATTCTCTCCCATCATTCCTCTGCTCCACTAGGACCTCTAAGTTCTCTTCGAACAGCTCAGGAGGACATGGGAGTGAAAGGCTTGCTAGGCAAACTGTAAGCATCATAGGTTATATGGTCTTTATTGACTGCTTTGAAAGTAAACAATACTCAAATGAAGAGTGTGTGTTTCTGTGTGGCTGGCAGGTCATGCCTGTACAACTCAGACATTTTTCTCTTGCAAATGATACCACCTCCATCTTCCCATAACTGGGTTCATTGTGCATAAACAGCCTTAGTACCTTACCATCTTGGACCTATGATCTAACAAGGAAAGGGTGATCAAGGGTCAGGATTTATGCTACCCATATCTGACTCATGGGACAGACTGGGATGGCTCCATCTGCAGTATCTATTGAGCTTACTGCACTGCCTTGGTGCTGCTGAGAAACAGAATTGTTTTCAAATGGGAAAATCAGAACAAATGTAAGCCCGACTCAAGTGTGTTTGTCAAGCTGCATGTTTTTCTGTAGCGAGCCCAATTTGAAGCCTTGTTCGGCTAAGGCTCATTTCTCCTGTCACTGAGGGAAAAACAGACTGTGATAAATAGCTTTAATTTTCTCACACCCTGAAGTGAGCCTCATAACAGACACATTCCAGATTTCTCCTGTGCTGAGTGGGCAGTGACAGGGCACTCTTATGAAGGAATCCAATAATGGACGTCCGAGCTTGGACACCAGTGTCACAAATCCATACTTGAGGGAAAGAGAAGCTATTATCCAGTTCCACAGAAAGGGTGGCCTTTGTCAGATACTTCAGTCAAGACCTAAACAAATCCCTTCTAAGATGACAGAGTACTAGGGTCACCTATAGGACTTGTTAATTAGTACACAGCACTAGGTTTCAACCCCCCAAAATGCTGATTTGGTACTTCTGGTAGCATGTGAGAATATTTATTTATTTGTTTATTTATTTATTTAGTGTGTGTGTGTGTGTGTGTGCATGTGAGTGCACATGCATACACAGGTAACTTCCAAGGCCAAAAGTAGGTACTGGATATCTTGGAGCTGGAGTTATACGTGGTTTTGAACCACACAACTTGGGTGCTAAGAACTAAATTTGGGTGCTCTGCAAGATCAACAAGTACTCTTAATCACTGACCCATTTTTTTCAGCCCCACAATTTTCATTTCTATGAAGTTCCAAGCTGATGTGGATGCTGCTGGTCCAGGAGCCATACCTGATAACAACTACTCAAGTAAACGTATCTTAGGACATACAGAATCACTTTAATAAACATGTGATCCTGTCCTAGCCCTACAACTCCACTCTTTGTATGCTAAAGCAAGCCATGAACAGAGACCACCTACATCAGAGGAGCTGAAGCTGTGCTCTCTGTGGCCTCAATTGCTTCCGATCTCTATGGTGATGTAAACAATGAGACAGTTTCTGCTTTGTGACCAGGAATATGGAAGTGAGTGGTGAGCAGCCTCAGGTTATGCACAGCACTGTGTGATTTTAAAGGCACATTCACAACTATTATTTCATTGACGGTTGTATCAAGTCTTCAAGTTAGACCAGGATGACCTTTCTAGAGTTACATCTGACCATTGCTCAGATAAGGAAAGTGAAAGCTCAGACAGGCTAATACAAGAGAAAGGTCACACGGATGCATACACCATGACCATGGAGCTAGAAAGTAAACAACCTGAAGCCCAGCTTCTGGGTTAGGGTCATTTTACAGTGACTAAAGAATGTTCATCTTTGCTGCTAAAAAGTCATGACTGTCCCCCAGAAGCTCTGAAAGACACTGGACAATAAGGTGTGGGGTTCTGGCTTAAAACAAAATGTGACTCTTACTTAAGCCAGGAGGTCGTCTTACAGGAGCTGAGAACAGTGAGTGCCAGGGCCTTATCTCAGATGGGTCAGATTTACAAGTGCATGAGAGCCATCTAGTCATCCAGTTAAAACAAGGCTCCCTGCAAGAACTCCAATTCAGCAGGC